ATTAAAGCATGTAAGTCCTATTAATTTGGAGATTGTTTCTTTGCTCATAGTTGAGTGCAAACATTTTTTTGACTACCGGTTAATAATCTTCTGGCACTCATTAATTGGTTGTTCTTTACTTGGCTGTTCTTTTCGTCCAACATTTTTGTTTAAACAAATGATGAAACAATGGGGGAAAATAGGGAGAACAGGAAAAATGTTTTGTTTTCTTGAACAAGATTCAAACTTGATACAAACTCAAGGACAGAGTGAAAAGAAATCAGGGAAAATATTAGTAATATACTGAACTGTTTCCATTAGTTCTGATGGATAAACGTGAGAAGTTTCTAAGTCAGGTAACAAGATGTATTTAGGGTATGATTTTTTCCCACTCAATGATTGTTAGTTTTATTTAGCTTAAATTACATGACTATTCCTTGATCTTTCTATTTTATGTTTAATAAGTTCCAATTTAAAAATGAGTAATAACTCCCTAAACTTTCATTCAATTTTGTGTCTAAAAGGTCCTCAAACATCCAATTTTGGAAAATCTATTATGCACTTCAAATTTTCATTATACTTGATTTAACCAAAACCACTTACATTGTTGCGTGATCAGTTACTAAAGTGGAGTTTTATTTTTTGGAAATACATTGAAGTTTTGTGTCTGAAGTCCATAATTTACTGGGTAGGTATGACTTTTATCCTCTTTGGAAGTCAAGCTGGTGGTTCTGAGTTGACCAGTCTGCATTGTTCAATCTGATTTGCTGCCTTCAGTAAATTTTTTTTTTTTCTAGAAGGTAGTGCTTTTCATTAGTATTTGAAATGATAAATTAGTAAATACAATAGCTTCTATCAAAAGCAAGACTCGCCAGTGGAGTTTTAAAAAAATCACCCCAGTTAGTACTAATGAGAAAGTCAGAATAGTTGCAAAAGTCATTAAGAACCCATCATGGAATTTTGCTACCTCCTCTGCTTGCCTCATTCTAAACTACTTTCTGTTGCACCTGGTTTAATTTTCTTTTGAATCTCCATAACCACTTTCCTACTGTGGCTGCAAACTACGACCATCTTCTTTGGGATTGTCGGCTCACTTTCTCCCTTTGGAGTCATCTTTGTCAAAATCATTGGGTGGATATGGCTTGAAATAGATGGTGTCGTGCAATATTGGCGAGGTGCTCATGAACCCTCCATTTCTTGATGAGGGGAAAGTTGTGTGATAGCCTTATTTTTCCCCATTTTGTGTGATACTTGGCTTGAGAGGAATAGTAGAATCTTTAGAGGGTCTAAGACGTTGAGTGAAGAGGAACAGTAGAATCTTTAGAAGGTCTAAGAGGTCGAGTGAGGAGCTTCGAGGATTGGTTAGATTTGAATCATCTGTATGGTTGTTTGTTAACTAGGCTTTTTGTAATTACCAGCTAGTTCTCATTCTTTTGGACTGAAATTCATTCTTGTATTTAGTTTTTTGGGGATTTTTATTCATGGGCTTTTTTTTTTTTTTTCCCCCTTGTACATTCTTCCATTTCTCTCAAGAAAGCTTGGTATCTTTAAAAAAGAAGTCTTGGGGGAAAGGAACCAACTTCCAATGCACTCGTACACTTTTTATCATCTAGAAAACCATCTCCCTCTCCAACAAAGCGCTAGAATCACTTGACAAGGAATCAATCTACCAAATTTTTCTCCATTTATCAAGCTTGTACAAGAATTTTTAGGTAGTCTGTGCTGTGCATTAATAGCTTGCTTCAAGATCTATAAATTGAGTAGACCCACACTCTCTTTGCTTGCTTCTGTTCTAATTTGTCACTCCTAGAAGGGAAGGAGGTCCTTTAGCTCATCATTGTTAGAGCCTTCTTATGGTCCATTTAGAATGAGCGTAATCTTTGAATTGTTCAGGGTTAGGGTTGTTCATCAATTAGTTGCCATCGGTTTTGAGGGAAAACCAATGCCATAAAATGGAAATCAACTGTTTTCTGTTGGTGCAGTCAATCAACCGATGGGGCTTGAGTGAGCCGCAACATCAGAGAGGAGATGGGGCTTGGAATGGTGAACAAGTGTGGGGAGAAAAGGGGGGGCCAGAATGATGTTGGAGAGGGCGAGGAGGCGTGAGTGGTGTTAGCGAGGGAGTGAGCGGCAGGGTTGTAGATGAGATGAGAGTATGTGAAGAATAAAAATGAGGTCCTAGGGTTAACGGGTTAGTTCAATTGAAGGAGGGGAAGGACTTAAATGTGCTCACCCCTATCCTATTTACTGTTACAGCCCAAGGGCAGTGTTCTTTATTTATTTTACTTTTACACCAAAGTACTTGATTACTTTTAGGGATCTTCTTCGTGACAAATGTTCTTTTGTTTCGAACTTCTGTAGGGTTTAAAGTCAGAAATGGATAAAGTGTCTTCTTCACTGGGGCGAAGTGCAATTTTCTTAAAGGAATCTCGTATTAATAGCCTGCCAAGGTAATGATAATCTTTTTTACGCTGAAGTTCTATTTAGTTCTGCATTGCCTCCTTGATAATAGATCATTTCAGTGAGAAATCCACCTGCTCAATTCTAAATTAGCATTGTACCATGAGAAAAATATAACAATTATTTGTGGTTTAATCTTAAGGTATTTGACAATTCAATTTGTCCGCTTTTTTTGGAAGAGAGAATCAAATCAGAAGGCCAAAATTTTGAGGGTAATAATGCCAATAAGTTTCTTATGCCCTTCTTTCCCATCTTGTTTTTATTTATGTATAGCATTCCATAACCTTTTATCTTTCTTTTCATCTCAGAAAGTGGATTATCCTTTGGAGTTGGATGTGTTTGATTTGTGTTCAGATGATCTCCGGAAACAATTGGAAGCTCCTCGACTGGTATAGTCTCTCACCTATAGTCTTTGAAGAAGAAACTTATGGATAGTTGATCTTTTGGCTTTTGTTCATTGAAATATAGCTTTTGAGGAACGAGGAAGACAAAAACCTCGGTCTGAAACCCCATGAGAAGACTTCGGATTCCACGGACAAGGATGCGAAGACGTCTGATGGAGAAGTGAGTCAAAGCCTTCATTCGCAACCTTTGATTAGTTATATTTGGACCTTCTTTTGACTTCCAATTCATGAAATATGCAGGGCACGTCTACTGGGAATGAGGCACAGTCAAGTGTTGCACCCCAAGAAGGTACCACTTTCTAAAAGTTGAATATCGGTTCTTCCTTCTTACTATCTTAGACTCTCACCTTTTGATGATTATCTATCTTAGATGCCCCTTCTTCTGACAAGGAAACACAAATGACTGGCATCTATGATTTGGTAGCTGTGTTAACCCACAAGGGGAGGAGTGCAGATTCGGGGCATTATGTTGCCTGGGTCAAGCAAGAAAGCGGTTAGTCTTTTAGAACGAATACGCGTTTTCATTAACTACTATTCTGTAGCTTACTCGAAATACAAACTATCATCAATGGCTTTCAAACAGGGAAGTGGATTGAATATGATGATGATAACCCGATGGTACAGAGAGAAGAAGACATCTTAAAGCTGTCTGGTGGAGGTAAAGCTCACATGGGAACTAATTCCTGGACTGTTTTAGTAACCTGAATTTTCAATCTCCAAACATCAATCCATTTAGTAATGGTTACGTTTTGTTCTGATATTTCATGTATTTTAGGTGATTGGCATATGGCATATATATGCATGTACAAGGCTCGTGTTGTCCCCAAGTGATCTCGATCACGTTCAAACCTAATGTGAGAGCTTCCACGGTTGGCCCTGTGTACACCAAGTATTTCTTAAATGGTTTGCTCTATAGCTGCTTGGCTGAAAGCAAGCCGGGGTCTGGTTAGATACTCTTCTTAGAACCAAATATGTCATCTTGAAATGTGTGGTTCATTGAACACTGTTTGATTTGCTGCCTCAAACGTTATTGCTCGTTTTCTAATTCTGTTTGGGACAATGCAAACTTTACTATTAGCTTTACCCGCTTCGTTTATCCACTGGGAAACCATTTCAAAGCTTGTGGTGGACATGAAACTAACCTAAACCATGACCAAACCAATATAACTCTGTTCTCCGACGATATTTGGTTTGATACAATTTGCATAAATAACAAACCATCAGAGGATTTTGTATGTAAAAAAATGGTACCCCATGCATCTCAAAATTTTTGGCACAACTACTTAGTTGTCATATCCCCTATTCGGGTTATATGCTATCAAAGTTATTCGGATTATATGTTTTCAACGTATTTCCTCACTCACAATTTCTAAATTAATTCTCTCTCACGACTCATGGCTTGAGCATATGCTAACATTGTCTGTTAAGTAAAAATTTCTTGACTAAGGCTAAATACTCCTAAGTTTCTTTATTCGATATTTACTTTTGATGAGTTACTAAATCCATTGTACTTAAAATATGACCACGGGAAACAAAGGAAAGGCCACATGAATGGTCTAAGGCCATCATCTAACCGGTGTTAATATGTGCAAATCATTATGCCACTTGAGAACTCCTGTTATTGATGTCCTCAATTCAAAACTCGATTTATAAATCAAATAGCATCAGAGAAGGCATATTGGTAATTGATGAACTATCATCTCACATGAAGTTGACAAATAAAAAGGGTGAAATTAGCTCAAAAAGTAAGCATAGCCAAACACTCCCAAGAAAATAAATCCAACCCGTTCAAGGGAATCCATAAACAGTCTTGACTGCAGTTAAAAAAAAAAAAAAAAAAAAAGGCATACAAGCTCCAATCTCACTTCACCTGGTTAAGCTATAGATATCCACTTGGTCCCTAATGTAACACAAAGAACAGAAACAGCAGGCAACAGTAAAATCTGATAAATAAGGGTCAAATAAATTACCACTCAGTGATGACACAAAGAATCAATGAAAAAATGAAGCTGTGAAAGTATATCAAAAGTTTCATCCCAACCAAGATTATGAATAGAAACTACACTTTCTTTTTCCTCGTAATCTTAAGCCTAATCGCGGTTGCAAATATTGAACATTCGTTTATAGTATTTTTGTTGTAGGAGAGCTACAATCACATTCTTTTTTTTTTTCCTTCATGGCTCCAACCCAAAACAATCTGAAACATAACTGCACCTTCTCTTTTCAGAAGAAGTTACAGGGACATGAAAAGAGTGAAAAAAAGAAGAAACTAAGTAGTATTGGAGGGGGGAGAGGGGGTCAGGACGAGGACGAGGACGAGGACGAGGGAGGAAAATGAGATGCAGCCACTGCAGAGAAATCAACATAAACCTTGTGGAGGAGGATTGTGTGGCAGCCAACTTTGTATCCGGGATACCAAAAGCACGTTCAATGGCTGGAAAGAAATGGGAAAATAGCTTTCTCCGAGAGAAACTCGAGAAAGTTGACCGAGCAATTACGTTTTCTTGCTAAACCATAACCATGTTTACGCATAGTACATGTACAAGCTGTTAGCAGCAGCGCAAGCAATCGAGTTCTCGGTTGGGTGCCAAGCTAAATGAAGTAACTTTGTTGTAAAATCAAAGGAATTTCCATTTGCATCATTCCCAGGACTTTCTGCTCCTGCTATGGCATGCCCAATAGGGAGAATGTAAAATATATATGCCACACAACTGGAACTAATAATTTGGTTTGTCAATATGTGAATAGAGAAGGGAAACGCAGACCTCGTCTTACGACTCGTGATATACTACTGCTCAGAGACCTGGCAGGCCTTGAAGGGGTCTGAACTTGACGCCTGCACGTACAATTCAAACTTGCATAAGCATTCCCCGAAATCAGATGAAGGCACACTCACAAAAATTACCTCATTGGATTTTTGCTGGCTTCTAAAGTTGTAGCCTCTGAACTTCCCGATATGCAGCCGAACACACGAAATAGGTTACTGAAAACACAAATGAACAAAGTAAGGTTTATGTCACATAAAACGAAAGGCATATCGAGTTTTCTAGAGCGGAAGACCTTACCTGTAAGAGCCTGTAGCCACTCGCAATCCATCTCCGCTCAAACAGCACTCAAACTTATCAAATATTGAATCATTTTCATATAGGTCACAGAGCTGCATGAATATTCAAAGAAAGATGTTACCAGCAAAAATCAAAGATAGCAGCATATTTAGTATTCAAATCTGAGTTTAGGGGCAGATAGTTCAACCTTGGGTCTTAAATATTCATGAACCTGAAATGCTGCTACTGGACCAGAATCCATATTAATGTCCCACAACTGCAAACAAGTAAACAACTCGATTCATAAAACGATAACCTGGTGCAAACACAAACAATCTGAACTTTGTTGACCCTATTGAAACTTTAAAATATGCAAGAAAAACGCCATAAAAAACACTTCCTACGATAAAATTTAAAATCGCTCAATAATGCATAGACAGTAAGAATGAAAATCAATAAACAAGAAGCAAACGGGACAAAATCTAAACCAAAAACAGGTGGAAGCTAGTGATCTATATTTAAAGGACAACCCATTTACAAAGCTAAGTATAGCAGGCATTTACAAAAGATGAAGCAGCCCAAGAGATTAATCAAGAAAAACTTCATCACAACCTTCTTGTGACATTACCCAGCATTAACTCTATATATATTCTAACCCAAATTCACAAGAAAATATCTTCCTTGAATTAATATCTCCAAAATTCCAATTATATGCTTTCCTCACACTCAATGGATTATTGTTGCAGATCTAGTCTATGGGAGATTTCTAAATGCACATGAATAAGAGAGTTATACAATATGAACAAACCCAACCGTTATCTTCATGAGCCAAAGGCTTCTTTTATCTGTGTGGGGGGTGGGGGGTGGGGTGGGATTGCAATTATGAGAGTGACCGAGAAGATTATCAATCGAAAGGATAAAATTGTAACACAGTTGCCAAATATCAGATGCCAATAATGTACGTCAAGAAGAAAATTAAAACCTTAAGAGTCATGTAATCACGACTAAGAATGTATCTTCCATCCTTTCCAAACTTAATATCAGAGATCGAAGCAATAATCTCAGTAAAAAAGGATCTAGAACCAGGTGCTTCCTGCTCCTCAAATCTGCACCCAAGTGGAATTTCTCATGAGTTCTCAGGTCCACGGGGAATTTTAATTGTAATATGCAGAATACGAAGAAATTATCGTTTTTTAAAACCAGTAGAAGCACTTACAATTTGGCGTGAGAGTCACATAATGCTGACTGCCGCAAATCAATTAGGCGAATGGATCCTTTTGAACTGCTATATGCTAACATATTGCAATGAGTAGGATGAAACTCTGCAGATGTTATCACCTCTATAGAAGCACAAGGAAAATTTAGAATCTGAAGTTTAAAAAGATAACAATAACAAAGATGAAGACGGATGTAACGGCCCAAGCCCACCGCTAGCAGATATTGTCTTCTTTGGGTTTTCACTTTTGGGCTTCCCCTCAAGGCTTTAAAACGCGTTTACTAGGAAAAGGTTTCCACACCCTTATATAAGGTGTTTCATTCTCCTCCCCAACCAACGTGGGATATCACAATCCACCCCCCTTCAGGGCCCAGCGTTCTTGCTGGCACTCGTTCCTTTCTCCAATCAATGTGGGACTCCACCAAATCCACCCCGTTTGGGGCCCAACATCCTTACTGGCACATCGCCTCATGTCTACTCCCCTTTGAGGAACAGCCTCCTCGCTGGTACATAGTCCAGTGTCTGACTCCGATACCATTTGTAACGGCCCAGGCCGACCGTTAGCAGATATTGTCCTCTTTGTGCTTTCCCTTTTGGGCTTCCCCTTAAGGCTTTAAAACGCATCTGCTAGGGAAAGGTTTCCACATCCTTATAAAGGGTGTTTCGTTCTCCTCCCCAACCAATATGTGATATCACAATGAAGAAGAAAGAAATAAAGGAGAAAAGAATCCTGAAAATATTACACAAATTACATTCCTCAAGTGCCCAAAGTCAGAAAATCTCTCTCTCACTCTCCCTATATATATATATATATATATATCAATAACAGCCACCAGAAGGAAAACCCAACCCCACTGACCAGAACTTCAACACCTTACCAGTCAGATCCTCCATGTTAGCAGGCTTGACATCAACAATATTGAAACTTTGATTGCTAATTTCCAAGTTCCAAAGATTTATCCGCAGATCATCAGCTGATATAAAAGTTTCTCCATCACTATAAACACAAGGCAAGATAACATAATTGGTTACTAAAACCATGCAAAAAACCAGCAAGACTGTAAATGGAAATTACATTTCCACAAGTAAATCATAAAGTTGTCTAATATTCTCTCTCTCTTTTCTTCAGCAAACCTAATTTACAGTAGAAAGACTTCATCGCCAAAAACATAAAAGCAATAAACATACATATATACATGTCAACTGAGTGTGAGCACACAGATGTCTGATTTCATGGCTGCATACACGTATAATACATACACACATATACAAACTAAAGATAGGAAAATTTTGACAAAACCCGAGCTGACGTGGAGAGGAGATGGAAAAAGCTAACCAAAATGAAACATTTCCATTATAAATTTCCCTTCACTATTCAAGGGTTACAATGTAAGGGCAACCATCAAGAATTATTTGAAATTGAATGAATTCATTAACTTCTATAAACAGTTTGAAGTAATGAGTTGGGAAAATTTAAGGTGTCATCAAAATAAGAAATTCCAACTTCAAGTCTCTGTATTATCACTATTTTTTTTTCTCTTCCCTATTGTGATATAAGTAATCTATGTCCTGAGCCTCTTTAAACACAACAATATTCGAGCACAAACACAATTAATAGTTTAAAAGGATCCAGAAGCAAAAATGATCAATTTTGAAGGAATTTTAATGCCTTTCAATGCCTGAAATTCCGGAATCTGCTGGCTATTGGGCAGCTTTCTTGCCAACCTCAATTCAATAATTTGCGAAAGAAAATTAGGTTATCCTATTTCATAAATGTAGTAGGTGGTGGAAGGCTGAAGAGCGAAAGAAAGTAGAGGTCTTCTCAAAATTCATTTTAAGGGGTCTTAATACCCATGATACAATTCAGAAAAGAAATTGTTTATGTGCTCTCTTACTAAGCAAGTGTTAATTTTTGCAGAGAAAAATGTTGAGGATGCTGATTGACTATATTTTTTTAGTAGAATTTGGCAGCTCTCATTCGCTGGAAGCATTGACGATCTTATCCTTCAGACACTGTGCGGCCATCTGCTTGTTTTACAGAGTTCACGAACAAACATATCAAAGAAACTTCATGGAAAATGCCTCTACTGCGGATTTGGGGACTTAAAATTAGGGATTCTTGGGATCCACGGGATATCATTGGATCTTTATCCTGTAACTGGTGGAGAGTTAAAATAACAGTTCATTGTAATTATGCCACTTTAATAAGATCAAATCTCATGTGCTTGATAAAAGAACATTAAAATCAAATAGCAGGACGCTGGCTAGTTGAGCACATATTATTTCAAAAGGCATAAGGTTATCAAGTTTAGCACACAATGAAAAAGCAAGACGCCGAAACAAGTTTAGCGCATATTATCTCAAGGGGCATAAGGTTATCAAAGGAGAATGTTCTATCAAGTATTCAAAAAGTTTAACAGAATGTACTAATAAGAAAACTTAGGGTTCCAGCGAAAGACACCAAACCTGTTATTGGAGATGGAGTTGATATGATAATCATGAGCATGGGCATACACTCTTCGACATCTAGCCATCAGGTTAGTCTCATGGGTAGTTACCTGCAAAACTAGTAGCTTAAGAACTGAAGGCAAAAATAATTGAATAAGTCGGCGTCTTGTTTTTTTATTTCTTTTCTTTTAAATTCATGTTTACAATCCTAGCCAAATTTTAACTGAAAACAATAGTTACAGTAGATGTACTCTTCTTTTTAAAAAAAAAAAAATGGCAGTGTCAAGAGTTTTCAAAAAGTGGAGTAAAAAATAAATAATTAGTGAACAAGCTTCACTTTTTAAGAGAGAACTAAAAATAAAAATAACATAAAACAAAACATTTATTAAAAATAACCACTAATCAAACAAAACCTTAGTTAAAAATAAGCAGTAATCAAACAAAAACTTGAACTAAAAATAACCAATAATGAGCAAATGGCTACTCAAACTATTAGTATGAATAGCACCACCGTGAATGGCATGAAACTAACAGCAATATGTATGATCAATAATACAAGTGGGTGAGGGCCTACCACTGGTAAGCGTAGTGACTGTACGCCCCTTACTGGAAATGAGAGGTCGTTATTGAGACACCGGTTTGGGGATCCTCCATTTGCAAGATATGTTCCAGAGCTACTTGAATTGCTCGAACTTGCATTGCTGCCATTTCCAGCAGATTTAGAAGGATCCACATTCATGGTAGAAACCTTTTTTACCTTCTTTTCTTGCACCTGATCCACACTCGAAACAAAAGAAAGAAGTAAATGGTGCAGAACAAACACCAGCAAAAAGACTACAAAAGGACAAATATAAGTGAAAGTGGTTGATTTTTCATGTTCATGTAGGGGAGAGAGAAAAGGGTCTTCTGACTCGTTTCAAAATACTCTACATTTTCATTGTAGATGAACTTAAAGAGAGAATCATCAAAGTTCAGAATAATTCTTCTGCATTAGGCACTAGTAATTCATAAATTTTGAAATGCGATGGACACGATAATCTAAAAACGTCTGCCCCTGGTATCTACTGGACTACCATAAGCAAAGCTTTAAGTTTCATCCCTTCAAAATTTATGAACCTTAAAGAACAAGTAATATGAGGTTTAAACCGAGTAACCTCCAGAAATATGCAACCAAGATATTTGATATAATTGCTAAAACCTTTCTTATGAAAAAAAATGAACTTTCATTGAGAAAAATAAAAAAAGAAATCCAGTGACCAAGATATTCGTGGGCTTTGTTGTGTAATTGCTAAAACATAAAACCAACTATCAAATCCAGTGTCCACCATATAGAATGATAACAAGAGATAAAAGCAGTAGCCTACCTTCCAGTATTTGATAGTTTTATCATTAGTAGATAACAGAAATAAGGCACCATTAGCTGGCTGGCACCATCTGATTTTGTTAATTTTTTCCTCAATTTCCAAACTCTTCAGATAGTCAAACTGATAAAAAGCAAGACAAATGAATAATAAATATAAATGCAATAGAAGTCGTTCATCGTTCATCATTCATCCAACAAATAAAAGTAATAATCAACCACAAAACTAATGGTAGAGAGAATACCTCAGGTTCATGACTCTGAAATTCTGTTTTATAACGAAACTCTGGATGCCTGCTAATTGCATTATCTGTCCTCTCCAGATCCCTTCTAGATCCACCATGCTACAAGTTAAAATGGATAAAAAAGAGTTAGATACTAAATAACACAAGAAGCAATAAAGATATTAGGGGCGAAATAACAAAGCAGTCATGATTCCAAGAAACGAACATCTTTTGTATCTGTCCTCTCAAAGAGCACCACCCGGCCACCACGGTCACCAGTAGCAAGATGATCCCCGCTTTTATCAAATTCAATTGCTGAAATAATATCGACTGCCAAAAGGGAGATGAATAGAAAATTTGAGAAGTTCATACAAAGACAAATCAAGATAACTGAACTATGGAAACGGCATGCATCAACTTGTTGCTTTTAAACTAACTAAGCAGAAACGGCTACGATAACATATTAAAACATTTTCATATATTGCAGATCCAAGCAGCCAAACCCATTCCAAAGCTAAATAGACACAGATAGATTGAGAGAGACATCTTTTCATGCTGGCACAAGTGAGTTGATGTGGAACGCCCATTCCCATAATAACTTGACTGTTCAAAATAAAAGCCAAAATGTAGATGAAAACACAGAAGATGAACGATATCTTTAACAAGCTTGATAGTTCACCTCTACCTTCATACAGTGGAGTGAGGGCCTACAACAGAGATCATTATCTCAAGGAGTTCTGCAGTTAGGAAAAGGAAGGGAAGTGGTACAATGAGAGACGAAACAGCTGGGCCGTGAAAGGCAATAGAAGTTTGAAGACTCCACAAAGAAGCATCTGGGAGCCCAAGACGCATAATAACGAGTAAAAAGAGAGAAACGTAGACAAAAGAGGTCTCAGAAATACGACTTCTGTCCTAATAACATAAAGCCACGAGAGGCAAAAAGAAATACTCTCCACCAATGCAGATCATAAAAGGGAGTTACAACATGGCTCAGCTATAGCACTCTAAGGAAAACCAAACTTTCCTTGGAAAGAAAACAAGTTCATTCCCAAAAATGATGACAGATCTTAGGATTTCTCTAAAATATTCTAATTTTTCTCTACAACAATTTCTAAAAGAACGCCTCGACACCATTTTAGCTTCATGTAATATGCATACAACACCACATTCCAAAAGTGGATTGCGAACGTAAATCTGTTAAAGGTTAGTTCATTGCAGTACGTTTAATACACTTCTCAGCTCATGATACGAAATTTGATACACTTTTTGTCATATTACTTGCATTCTGTTTTCACATCACGAAGTGAAGATCCAAACCAAGCTCCACAGCTAGCAAACACCAAGAATCAAAATTCTACCATACCATACGAGAACGTCCAGATAAACAGGAACCAAACATTTTTCAGGCTTGATTTTGACCAGAAAGCTAGACACGTTACATTAAAATTACCCAGCTTTCAAATAATATTGAATGGGGGATGGATGAAAGGGATATCATATCAGGGAGGAGTCATTCCACACAGTTGGGCAATGCTCTTTGCATTCACTTACAGTAAATTCAATCCAGAAACTCAAAGCTATTCCAGAACTCACTCACCAGGCTTAGGTTCGAAGCTTCTCACTAATCCTATCAGCGGAAGGAACAATGATGTGCACAATCTTAGAAGAACATCTAAATTAGCAAGCTCAACTCCCTCTCATTACAGAACCAAACCAAAAATTCCCAGCAAATTAACAGAACGAGATAGAGATCCACAACAGGATTCCAAATTAACAGAACGACTTACAATCTGTAACAGATCGGAGACCCGAAAAACCCTAATTGCAATGGATGCCCCCAAATTTTAATTGGATCGAGAAACCCCAAATGGGGAAAAAAAAACATTTGGATTATAGTAGAAAGTGAATAGTACCTTCTTGAACTTCTTCACCGGCTGTACGTTCGCCAAAGACCTGGGAGAATTTCCAGTCCAGCGGCTGCGGCGGGCCGGCCTGAGCTGCAACGACCTCGTTTCCACCATTCATTTCGCCAAAAAAAAAAACGCAAATCCAAGCAACTCCAGATAGGAAAAATCCAAATCCACCAAATCAAATCAATGCATCGAAGATCCCTTTCTGGGTTTACAAAAACCACCGCTTGGAAACAAACCCCGTCAACGATTTTCGAAAACCCAGAAAAACAAATTGGAGAAGAAGAAGAAAAAAAAAAAAAAAAAACCAAAACAACAAAACCAAAAGGGGAAAATCCAATTGTTGTTGTTGGTGCTGCTGCTGCTGCAGATTTCAATCAAAGCATCGCGAACTGGGAAAAAAGGCCCAATTCCCCTGCGCCTCCCAGAACTTTCTCTCTCTAAAAGTCTCTCCCCTGTGTATGTCTCGTCTCTCTAAAAACCTTTTTCTCTCTCTAGAAGGAGAAAATCGGGATTAAAACAAGTCGAACTCATCAAACCGTCCAAACACAACGAAGAAAAAATAAACAAAAATTGGAAAAAGCTCATGTACATAGATCAGTTTCATAAAGTTACAAACCCCAAACATATACCCACGAACGAACACTTGCTCTTCCTTCTTCTCTCTCTCTCTCGCTCGATCGATCGATCGATCAATCAATCGTGCGCGCTTTTTGTTTATAAAGATCTTAGACTATATAAATTCCTTCACAAATTTCACTTCTTGTCACAGATGGGTATCCGATTTCGCCGGATGATCCATTTGAGTATACGCTATGATTGGAGATGTGATATCAAAATGCGGCTCATGCTCATTGGTTCCTTACATTCCCCAACTTCCCTCTTCCTTCACCTCAACAATTACCTCATTTTCCATTTTCAATCTCTCATTTTAATATATTATCAATTACATAAATCACATAAATGTCCAAATTTTCAATCTTTTTTTTTTTTTTATCTTCTAATATTATAAACTATATAGTAAGACAAAATGAATCCTCTTCATAACTTAGAATTTAATAAATGAAATTATTACCAGCTCCATCATACCCTAATCTTATCATTTCTCTGTTTCAAACTTCAAATGGGCCCGGGTAGATTTGTTAAGCCCATTAAGGCCCACATTCTTCATCGGGTTTTTCTGTATGATTGACTCCACGATGGGCCGGCCCTTAATACTATAAAAGCCCATGGGCATGAACCAGCATTAAGGGATAATATTAAATTTAGTATTATTATTATTATTTCATCTCTGTAAATAATTAATATTTAACTTTTTTATTATAAATTTAATATAAAAATATTATATTAGAAATTTAAAACCATTTTTATAATTTGATTTTGTAAATTTTTATTAAAGAATAAATTTAGAAAGAGGAAGGAAACGGTTATCTCCTACGGGCTCAACGAAATCAATTACCTTAAAATATTCTCATATTCCAATTATTTATTATTCTATTATTTCCATTTATCTCAACCATCCGATTTCATCGAATCTAACGGCCCATACGCCTCGCCTTTGTCTCCTTTTCTTTTCAGAGCCCACTATAAATACGGCCGGATGCCTCGATTTAATGAAAGAGAGCCAACCAATAAATTCAGAGTTGCCGGAATCTTCAGAGCGATATAATGGCTGGAGTCGATGTGGTTTTCGACTTCGACAAGACGATCATTAACTTGGATAGCGATAATTGGGTGGTGGACGAACTCGGTGCCACCGATTTGTTCAACGAGCTTCTTCCTACAATGCCTTGGAACTCTGTCATGGTATTATTATATTTTCTCTTCGTTATCGATTTATCGTTAGCGGAACAGAGATTTATGGTGTGATATTCAGGATCGGATGATGATGGAGCTCCATGCAGAAGGAAGAACTATTGACGATATTGTTGAGGTTCTCAAACGCGTTCCGATTCTTCCCGGTGTCGTTCCAGCCATTAAAACCGCTCATGCTCTAGGGTATAGAATCGTTGGATCTCTCTCTGTTTTTGTGTTTACATCTCTAATTGAATTACATTGGCTGAGATTTCTGCGTTCTCTGTTTGTGCTTGTGTTTTTTCAGATGTAATTTGAGGATTGTGAGTGATGCGAATATGTTTTTCATCGAGACGATTTTGGATCATCTTGAAATAAGAGAATGCTTCTCTGAAATCAACTCGAATCCAAGCTTCGTCGATGAAGAAGGAAGATTGAGGATTCGTCCTATTCACAATTTCCATGAATCTTCTCACGGATGCAATCTCTGCCCTCCGAACATGTGCAAGGTATTGTATATCCGTATTTGCAGCGCTGTATATGTTCAGATCTGAATCAATCGATATCATAAATGCTGAGAAATTTTCGCTCGTAAATCTAGGGCATCATTATGGAGCGGATTCAAGCCTCGTTAATGTTAGATGGGAAGAAGAAGAAGGTCATCTATTTAGGCGATGGAAGTGGCGATTACTGCCCTAGTTTGAAGCTAGGAGAAGGGGATTTTCTGATGCCGAGGAAGAATTTTCCACTGTGGGGCTTGATTAGCCAAAATCCACTTGTGATTAAGGCAGAAATCCACGAATGGAGCGACGGAGAAGAGTTGGCGAGGATCTTGTCGAGTTTAATCAACACCATTTCCATGGCGGGAAATGCACAGTTGTCGCCCAAAATTATGGCCGTTCCCGCATACGACGCCCTGGCTTGCCCCTCTCCCAAACCGGCAATGGTAGCCAATTCAATTCAATTCAAACAACCCATTTGTTAAACCAATCAACAATCTACCCATTGAAATTAGGAATTAAAGGTGTAATTTCGCAAACTCTAATTTGCAAATTTAAACATATTATTCTTTTATGAAGTTGCATGGTGCACATTCCCAACCCATATTCTTTTCGATTGTATTAATTTCTAACCTTAATTCTGACTGTCACCTAAGTAATTTCTTCTTTATACACTATACAAATTATTTAGCTTTGAAAACAACGGAATCACCAATATATCAATCTTTTTATTTTACCGTAGTTTTTTCTATTTGAATTTTGACAAAATTAATTATATTACGTTGTCGAGCAAAAAGCTAAAATAATACACTTCATACTTGTTTGCTTACTAAGAGTACGTGGATTAAATAAAAAATTACTTTTTTAATATTGTAAAATATTATTTTTATTCTCCTACTTTCAAATTGTTCTATTTTATTTCAATATACTTTAAAAGAATTTCAAAATTCAATAAATCTTTATAATTTTTTAAAAATATATATATTTTTAATAAATATTTCAAACTATATAATATTTAAAAAATATATTATAATAATTAATTATAGAATATATTTTAAATATTTGTAATCAGTTAATATTTTATCTTAAAATTTGATTAGTAGTATATTTTATCATTTTATCATTTTATCTTGATTAGTAATATATGTATATTTTGTCATTTTATCTTAGATTTAATTAGTAGTATATTTTATCTCATTCTCAAAATTTAGTTAATTTATTATTATTATTATTATTTTTAATAGTCGGTAGTTTATATCCTATTTAAATTTGTGATTGATATTTTTTAATGAAATTATTTACATTAATTTTTAATTTTTTCTTTCTTTTTAGGTAGAAACCAAGACTAATATTTTATAATAAAATATTTTTTTTATTATTTCAGCTAATCAAATTACAATCTTTAGATTTTCCGAAAATATGGCTGGAATTTCCACAGTTTGGTAGAAGAAATAAAATTTTATAAAAACAGATATAAATTTGATAATTCTTACAATGGAGAAAAAAATACAACTTTATTAAGTTCATTAAATTAAAACATTAAACTTCGATTATAATTTTATTTAAAAAATATTTGTGTTTAATTTATACATATTTTTCTATTTTTCTATTTTTTTATTTAAAAATAAGTAAGTGATAATTCTTTTTTTATTTTATTTAGATAATTTAAGTTAATTTTAATGGAATAAAGCTAAATATTAAGCAATTTTAATTGGTATAATTCTTATTTTAGAATTTTGATGACTAAATTTAAATCAACAATAAAAAGTAAAAAAAAAAACTAAATAAAGCTTTAAATGAGAAGTCTTTTAAGATTTCTTCTATTCTTTTTTAATTAGGTAAAAAAAAATGTCAATAATTCATAAATAATTTGTTTTAATTAATAACAATAATTAATAGTTATTCCATTTAGATATTTTTTTTAATTTCTTCCTACCATTTTGATTTTTTATTGGAATCTGAAGGCAATTCACTTTCACTAACACAGCCGGTGGTGTGTGGCGGAGAACTAATCCCTCTCCGTTACCAATTACCAAACCCTTTCGTGTTCTCAGAGTCACCGAAATTTGCAGAGCAAAATGGCCGGGATCGTAGTTGTTTTCGACTTCGATAAGACGATCATCGACTTGGACCGTGATAACTGTGTGGTGGACGAACTCGGCGCTTCTGATTTGTTCAACATTCTCCTCCCTACAATGCCATGAAACTCTCTCATGGTACTCTATTTCCTTCTGTTCGTCCTCGTTTTACTCTTTTCTCTAGCAAAATAGAGATTCGATTAGTGTCGCCATTTTAGGATCGGATGATGATGGAGCTTTATGAATGAGGAAGAACTATTGACGACATTGCCGACGTCCTCAAACGCGCTCCGTTAAAGCTACCCGTGCCCGAGGTAAATTAATTGTATAATCTTAATCTCTCTGTTCTTCCACCTCTCGTTGAGTTCTGCGGTTGATAATCTGTGTGTGTGTGTTTTTCAGATGTGATTTGAGGATTGTGAGTTATGCGAATCTGTTTTTCATCGAGACAATTTTGAATCATCTCGGAATTAGAGAATGCTTCTCCGATATTCATACAAATCCAAGCTTCGTAGATGAGAAGGAAGTGTTTGGTTAAATGACACAATAACCTACAATAACGTACATGGGTCACAACCTCAAACTCTCCTTATATTCTCTAGATTCATGTAACAAATTAGTAAATCAGTAGATTCTTTGATAGTAAACCAACAAATTAGTAATCAGATTCTCTTTGATCCATGGTCAAGAAATTAGTAATCAGTAGGAATTAGTAAATTCTCCTGATCTAAGGTAACAAATCGTACTTTTGATGGCAGCGGACTTGCAATTGTGCAACACTCACTTCCCAACAACAAGTGAGCTAAACCAATTCGTTCTTGCGTCGACTATGGGCAAGCGACGTATGCTCAAGCCTCTAGCCCTAGTTTAAGAGGAATTTTTTAGAAAACGAGGGTAGAGAGATTTCGTGAGAGAGTTTTGAAAGCAAGATTTGAAAGATTGAAATTGGTGTTATATGTGATGCAAACAAAAGAACAACAAACGAAAATCAGTAGATTCTCTTTGATCCATGGTAGCCGACCAGGAAATCAGTATATTCTCTTTGATCCATGGTAGCAGACTAAGAAATCAATAGATTCTCCTCGATCCATGGTAGCAGACTAAGAAATCAATAGATTCTCCTCGATCCATGGTAGCATACCAAGAAATCAATAGATTCTCCCTGATCCATGGTAGCAGACCAGAAAATCAGTAGATTTTTTTTTATCTATGTTACCATATCCGAAAATCAGTAGATTTTTTTTTATCTATGGTACCATATCCGAAAATCAGTAGATTCTCCTAGTATCAAACCAGGAAATCAGTAGACTCTCCTTGATCCATGGTAGCAAACCAGTAGACTCCTTGATCCATGGTAGCAGACCAGTAGACTCCTTGATCCATGGTAGCAGACCAGTAGACTCTTCTTGATCCATGGTAGCAGACCAGTAGACTCTCCTTGATCCATGGTAGCAGACCAGTAGACTCTCCTTGATCCATGGTAGCAGGAAATCAGTAGACTCTCCTTAATTCAGACTCTCTTTGATCCATGGTAGGAGACCAGGAAATCAGTAGACTCTCCTAATCCATGGTAGCAGATAGACTCTCCTAATCCATGGTAGCAGATAGACTCTACTTAATCCATGGTAGCAGATAGACTCTCCTTATTAGGAAACTTTTCTTGATCCATGGTAACGACCAGGAAATTAGTAGATTCTCTTTGATCCATGGTAACAGAAGACCCAAAAATCAGTAGACTCTCATTGTCTTTGATCTAGACTCTCCTTGATCCATGGTAGGAGACCAGGAAATCAGTAGACTCTCCTTAATCAATGGTAGCAGCTAGACTCTCCTTAATCTATGGTAGCATATAGACTCTACTTGATCCATGGTAGAAAATCAGGAAACTTGATCCATGGTAACAGACCAGGAAATCAGTAGATTCTCCTTGATCCAAGGTAATAGAAGACCTAGATTCTCCTTGATCATGGTAACAAAAGACCCAGAAATCAATAGATTCTCCTTGATCCATGGTATAATAGAAGACCCGAAAATCAGTAGATTCTCCTTGATCATGGTAACAAAAGACCCAGAAATCAGTAGATTCTCCTAGATCCATGGTAACAGAAGACCCGAAAATCAGTAGATTTTCCTTGATCCATGGTAACAGAGACCCGAAAATCAGTAGATTCTCCTGATAGCAGACCAGGAAATCTCCTTGATCCATGGTAACAGACCACGAAATCAGTAGACTCTCTTTGATCCATGGTAGCAGACAAGGAAATCAGTAGACTCTCTTTGATCCATGGTAGCAGATAGACTCTCCTTGATCATGGTAGCAGACCAGAAAATCAGTAGACTCTCTTTGATCAAGGTATTCTCCTTGATCCATGCTAGTGGACCAGGAAATCAGTAGATTCTCCTGTAACAGACCAGGGAATCAGTAGATTCTCCTTGATCCATGGTAGCATACTAGGAAATCAGTAAATTCTCTTTGATCCATGGTAGTATACCTGAGAATAAATAGATTCTTCTGGTATCAGGAAATCAGTCGACTCTCTTTAATCCATGGTAGCAGATAAACTCTCCTTGATCCATGGTAGCATACCAAGAAACTTTTCTTGATCCATGGTAGCATACCAGGAAACTTTTCTTGATCCATGGTAACAGACCAGAAAATCAGTAGATTCTCCTTGATAACATACCATCCTAGTAGATTCTTCTTGATCCATGGTAACAGACCAGTGAATCAGTAGATTCTCCTGATAGCAGACTAGAGAATCTTCTTGATCCATGGTAACAGACCAAGAAATAAGTAGATTCTCCTTGATCCATGGTAGAAGACTAGGAAATTAGTAGACTCTCCTCGATCATGGTAGCAGACCAAGAAATTAGTAGACTCTCCTTGATCTATGGTAGCAGGTAGACTCTCTTTGATCTATGGTAGCAGGTAGACTCTTCTTGATCCATGGTAGCATACCAGGAAATCAGTATATTCTTCTTGATCCATGGTAGCATACTAGGAAATCAGTAGATTCTCCTTGATTCGCAGACCAGGAAATCAGTAGATTCTATGGTAGCAGATAAACTCTCTTTGATTTATGGTAGCAGACCAAGAAATCAGTAGATATCCATAGTAGCAAACCAGGAAATCAGTAGATTCTTCTTGATCCATGGTAGTAGACCAGAAAATCATTAGATTCTCCGACCAGAAAATCAGTAGATTCTCCAACCAGGAAATTAGTAGATTCTACGACTAGGAAATCAGTAGATTCTTCGACCAGAAAATCTCTTTGATCATGTAACAAACTAGGAATCAGTAGATTCTTCTTAACAAACCAGGAAATCGGTAGATGATATACTATGTATAGATATGACCTATTCTACGTTTAACCTCCCTAATCTGGATGATGTAGTACTAAGTTTAGATTGCGCTTAAACCGAAAAGTCCTAAAAGAAGGAGATGGTAGTGGCTTTGTTATGAT